ATCACATGCACATATGGGGTAGTCTTGCACATGTGCGCTTGATATGGACACATAAGTTGGAAACAGATCATACGCATGATAGATTTGATAGCTACTCTAAAGTCACTAGGATGGATTATTTTATTATCTCAATGATAAAAGTTGATTGTTTACACTCACTGTTTATCTATAGGAGGATCATATTATGAATCACATACCTGGTAGTATAATATTAGAGAATATGGTATGAGTACTAGATGTACCACATGTGAACACACTTATTATAGGATTGAGAATAATATATGAATTCCCTATTAATGCGTCAGCATCATCTAATACACAGATTTCTGCATCGGTACATTATTGTAGTGGGAGGATTATCATCCAATCCGACAGAATCATATTTTTAGGTAAGACCGTTATGGACATCCCTGTTAAACATGAGTACGTTGGACCCAGCAAGATACACAGAAGCGTGAACCAATATGGATACAAATCGTTTTGGCGAGTTGCTATGAAATCAGAGTTGGAATTTATGTATTCTAATAAAATCTGGGATCTTGTAGAACTTTCTAGTAGGGTGATACCTATGGAAGACAAGTTAGTCTATAAAAGGATACTAGAAGATTTCTTAATAATTAAATCATGAGTGTATAAAGGGAATGTCATTATTTTTTTCTAATTCTATATATTGATGACATCCTACTCATTTATAATAACGTGGAGAGTTTTGTTATCAGTAAAGGGGTAGTTGCTCAATTATTTTGAAATGAAGGATTTTAAAGATGTAAGATATATTCCTAGAATCAAGCTTTTGCAAGATCAGGTTAAAAGGAAAATAGGCTTATCTTAATAATCCTACATTGATAAAATTTTGACCAGGTTTGGTATGCATAACTCAAAGAATGAGTTCTTGTTTTATTGATATGGATTGCTCTCTCTAGTAAGTAGTTTTCCAAGACTAGCAGAGGAGATTGAGCAAATGAGACTGGAACGATATGCTTTGGCATATGAGAGTCTCATATATGCCATGGTCTATACTAAACAGGACATCCGCTACATTGTAGGTATAGTCAGATGATATCAGTCCAATCCTAGACCTGATAACTGGTCTATTGTGAAAAATATCATTAAGTACCTAAAGAGAACCAATGATATCATATTCATTTATGAATGTGATGATATGATCCTAGTCAGGTATGCTAGTTCTGATTTTCAATCAGAATTAGATACTATGAGGTTCATGACTTAGTGTATGTTCACTCAATGGAAGGGAAATCAGTTAGTAGATTGCTAAGCAGATTTCAACCGCTGACTTAAACCTGCAGGTGGAGTACATTGTAGCCTTAAAGGCGGCAATGGAAGCCTTTTTGGTTTGATCTCACTGATTTAGAGGTTGTGGAGCATATTAGCCTTCCTATCGAGCTATATTGCGATAATAGTGCAGAAGTAGTCCAAACCAATGGCCCAAGGTTCCATAGAGGAACAAGGTATATTGATAGGAAGTATCATGTCTTACATGAGATTGTCCGGTAAGAAAATGTACTCATGGCTAAAACATTACATTGGAACACAACTTTGTTGATCCATTAAGAGAGATGTCATCGATCAATAGTTTTGATCGTCATCTGGATAACATTGAAGTTAGATGTAATTTGAATTGGCTATGAGGGCAAGTGGGAGCTGTTGGGATTTATATGCCCTGGCATAGCAAATTCCTATTTGGATTATAGTGACATATGTTCCTGACGTTTCTAAAATATTTATACTTTATACAATTGGTGAATTCAATGTATTATGTTTCGATTCATTATAGAATTGATAGTGTCCACTTGATTACAAGAAATATTTATATATGTGTGTGATGGCGATCAATACATGAATATAAATAATAATCATAAATTGGTCATAGTCGGTAATTATGGATGGACTCATAATTAATTAAGACTTGAACTGGATCCACGTTAGGTTGAGATATATTGCGAGAGTCGTCGTATGCAATTGCTCACTATCACCGTCATGGCATTTGACTCTTAAGCATGAGAAAAGTATAGACTCTTTTGTTAATTAATAATTACTTTGATTTGTTCGGCGGATTCTTTGGGATCCTTAGACCGACACTTTGGGGTAGTTATGTAATTAATAGTTAGAGAGTTATATTTTTAATATTTGCATCATTGCTACTTGTATTTATTTTGTATTGATTATGGTTGATCACAAAGTAAATTCGAAGGTTTTCGTGCGTTTTTAGACAAAATGATTTATTATATATTTATTTATTTAAATTATTATTTTTGTCAAACAAATGTTTTATTGTGATCGAGTCAGAAATAATCAATGGTACCAAAATAAATATATTAATTAAGTAGTCGGATTGATGGCTTTATTTATCTGATAACTAATTATGGATAGAGGGGTCAAAGTGCAATATTGACTTAGAGGTTATTTATTATTTAATTGGAGTTCAATTAATTTCTTTTAGTGGAGTAGAAATTAATTTATGAATTAATTGAATTGGGTCCATGTACCGGGCTAATTATTAATTCATTATAGCCAATAAAATAATAAGCCCAAAAGATTCTCACTCATAGCCCAACTTGATATTGGAATCCTATTAGATTTGAGACATGTGAATTAGAGATTGAGAGGGATTTGTTATTTCCTTTTCTTTATCTTTATGTTGCCTATAAATATACATGGTCTATGTATATTTTAGGTATGATTTTTATGAAAAGGAAAAAGGAATATATTTTCTCTCTCTAGAAAATTAGAGTTTATGTTCTCATCTAATGAAGTCTCTCACAAGCCTAGTTTTCCAAGGTCATTCATAGAAGCTTATGGGTGATTCCTAAAGGCAAAACAATTACCAAGAAGATAAAGATTCAAGGAGAAGGTATCTTGCTAAGGGATCTACAATAAGTGAGAACATTCACTTTAAATGAAAGAATTAAAGGTTTACTCAGACATTTGATATAAGTATTTAATCTGTTAATTGAATAATACATTATATTTTATTTTTGCATAAAACTTGTCTTTATGTGATGAATCAAGATCTATGTATGAAAATCCCTCAGAAAGTTTTTAAAACTAGTACGTTTCCTTACAGGGTTTTGCTGGAATTAAGCTTGATTTGTGTACATTGAACATTTTGATCAATTGTTGTTGTCACTTGAATAATGTCAATTCTGGGTTTGGTCTTTTTGGGGAGATTTTGAAGAGAGGTTTGAAGCCGGATCCAATGACCGTCAATACTCTGGTTAAGGGCTTGTTTATGGAAGGTAGGGTTATGATTGCAGTCCAGTTGTTTGATGAAATGACTGAAAAGGGTATCCAAGGAGACGTGTTCGCATATGGAATCCTTATTAATTGGCTTTGTAAAATCCGTGAGACGGGTCTTGCTCTTGAGTTGCATAGGAAGATGTTAAAGACAAACTGCAAGGTGAATGTGTTTACATATAGCATGATCATTGATTCTCTTTGCAAGGATGTGTTGATTAGTAAGGCGATTGATATCTTCACAGAAATTATTGGCGGAGGAGTTTCTCCAGATTTTATTGTTTATAGTTCTTTGATTAATGGATAATGTAGTGCAGGCCGGTTGAAGGAAGCTGTAAGTTTTTTCGATGAAATGCTTGATCAAGGAATTCTTGCCGATGCAGTGACAAACAATTCTTTGATTCATGGCTTTTGTCTGTTGGCCTTGTGGAGTTGTGGAGGTATTTTTGTCATGAAAAAATTAAAATACACTTTTTTTAAGTCAACAAATGGTCAAAAAGGTAAAATAGTCATTTTATACCTAAAAAATATTTCACTTACTTCCCAAATTGACATTTGGGGTGTAAATGAAATACAAAATCACTCTTTCAAATATGAGTGAAAATTAAAACAAAAATCTTCATGTAGATGAGAAATGACTTAACCTCAGGAGTCTTAGTGTAATTTACCCTTATAAGATTGATTATTTCAAACAAATATATTTTAATAATATATAAACTACGGAGTATTTTATAAAATTTTGCTATAAAATTTTGCTAACACACGGATGGTTTTTGCTACCTTTTGACCTATTTGATTTAAAAAACGTAACATGAAGTTGCAATTACTGTATTAATAATAATAATAATAATAATACTTGTTTTTTTTTTTGTAAACCTTACTTTTGTAATAAAAAATAAATAAATAAAAGGATTTTCATTCTCATATTGGTTAATAAGTTAATTCCAAATACTTTCCACTATCCTTGAAATGTAAAAAAAAATATATAAATAAAATTTGATAGTAATGTAATAAATGATATAATGTCTCCTCGCATACAAACAATTCCTTAAAAAGGGAGCATGTGAGTACCAATTAGGAAGGAAAATAATAATAATAATATGATATAATGTCCCGGTTGATGAGTGCATCATTTGTGTTAGTTTAATTGTCTGTACAAGTATTATGTATTAGTGTTTATAATTATTTCTTTAGTTTAAGTGGCGTTTGTTGACGATGAAGATTGTGATGTTGGTGGTTTGTTCAAAGTTTTTTTTTTGCCTCAGGCCTCCAATTGTATTGAGCCAGTCCTGCACAAACCAATTAAGCAAGTCTCCTAAATGGTCTTATTATTATTAATCTTAATTTTTATTTAAATGCTTTTATAATATTCATATTTAAGAGATGTGACTGTTATCATATAACTACAGTTTATTTACAGAGGGTGTGTTGCTTGATGGAACCAACGTGTCTCTTTTTGGTAACTTTTAGAAACGGTCACAACCCTCTATATATATCCGTGAAAGAGAGTCTGAATCCATCGTTCAGTTTCACAGGCAAAAATAGAGGGTTGAAGAGTGTTTTTATATTGTAGAGTGCTTCTGAATTGCAGTGTTTCTATAATAGTTCATCTCAAATACAAACAGCTAAAGATGGCAGGTATGTTTTTCTAAATAACGTTTTATGCATTGGAACCATGTATTTATTATTGATGAATTTCTTACATCCAATACCACACCAAAATGGAGAGAGTTCAAACTCAGCAATGAAATGCAAAAGAATCATCTAATGAGAGGGTTTGTTACAGTTCCTGACAGACTGCATTGCATAATACTCCATATTTATATAAAGAGAGCTATACACAAATTGACACATAAATAGTTCCTCAATGCCTATAATGAAGCCATAAACATGATACACTCCTTGAGCATTACTAAGATTATCTTCTCAGAACTAAATACCAAAGCTATCTGACATCCTAAAACTGCGCAAGACTCGACCATTTTTATTATAATTTTATTTTTATTTTTATATTTATATTTTTTTTTGTGGGGTAGTGGATATACCATCTTTGATAACTGAATTGAGTGAGCCAACATTTGCATTGATGGGGAACCAGTTAAATTCTACAAAATGGTTGACAGGACCAAAACCTGACAGAATGCTGCTCTCTGCCTCCTCTCTTCATAATCCTCTTCTTCAGTGCAATCCAATATAGATGATGGCCCAGTGCTGCAAAAGTAGGAAACATCAGCCACTTAACCACATTACTAGAGTCTAGAGCCATCAATTATGTAATCTTCAATCAAATTATTGAACAATTGGCTCTCTACTAGTAAAAGATCTTGAGAGTAGCTTCTGATGGATGTTTTTTAAAAATGTGTTTTCACATTTCAAAAGTAATCTAATGAAAACATAATAATATTACACCCCTACTCATGCTAGAAAGAGTACTTAAATTAACAAGAATACAACGCATACTTTAGCATATAAAACAAGCACAATAATGCTTCGATCCGTTGTAAAAGGTGGATCCGTCTTCTTAAACGCGCCAGACAAGAAAGGAGTGCTAACGGCAATAGCAGAGAGAGCAGCACTCGGCAAGGCATTAGCAAGGTGCAAAATCAGTTTTCATTCATTTAGTTGCTCTTTACTTGAGAAGAGAGGGCACAAAAATAGGTGGTGCTTGTGAGAAAAGAGAGCATAGCATAAATTTAAATCATAAGAGAAACTAAAGTGATTTTCAAGTTTTAGAGGAACTGGCAATTATCCAAGAATTGATTAGGTTCTGTTTTACTTAGAATAAATACAAAAAAATAGGTACCTAAGCATAATTGCTGAAGTTATTAAAGCTAAAGAAATGGAACATCAATTTCTAGATGTCAAGATAAATTTAGACCTGGGGTCTTAGGGTTGAAGTTAGACCATTGATTTCTAAAGTCCTGTGACGAGAGAGTCGAAGATTCTAAAGAATAGTATAAAAACAAAGAAAAGGGAGATACAAGCCACATCTCACTTCTTGATAAAAGATTAGGTTCCCAATAATCATGGCATGGCTTTTTGGAGTTTCACAATTAAAGAATATTGTTATTACACCAATAGGCAGGAACGAGAGTTAGAAATATAAAAATATGTTGCATCTATTTGATTGTAGCCTCCAATAATGGTTAAATAACAAAAGAAAGAAATGACGAGGAAAGAAAAAAAAAGACTGCTTTGCCAAGCTTTAAATTTTTCACTTGTTCAGAACAACAATAAAAACACATTGGTGCAGATTAATATTTTAGTAGAGAAAATATCGAATTTACACTCTATTTCAGCTAATGTAAACACTTCTCTTAAGACTAGATGAGTAGTCCAAAAATTATTTTAATTGATCTTTCAGACAAATTTATTCAGCATCAAGTTGTTGTCAAAATGCTGAATGACACTGAAGATTTCTCACTTGGCAACAGCATGCAGAAATGGTAATGATTAATGGGCTATCAGACGGAGCTGGTGTGGAAGATGATCAAAACCAGCCGTTTGAGCCCACCTTGGGGAAATTATGTGTGCTTGTGTGTGTGTTTTGGCATCTGCGATTATGTAAGAAACTATTACATGTTGAACATATAGTGATGTGACAATTGGCGTGAATAATACCATTTCAAAATGTTTCCATCATCATGAATTTCAAGCTCATGATATTGTCACTAAATATGATATTCCAGAACAGATATGATATCTAAGTGCATGTTTAGGTTATACGAGGATTATAAGACATATAGTTCCTCATTTTCTACTGCAATATAGATGCTCATGTGTGCCTAGAATTTCCTACGAGATTGCTCCTCAGTCTCTAGTATAAGGCGAAAGAGAGTTTGCTATGTGCTCATCGAATGGCTGCTTGCTCCTCAATGTGAACCAAACAAATTTCAAAACAGGTGTTTTCAGAATGCAACAGGCAAATATCATCACGGCACTCATATAGCCAGAAGCTAACTACTTTAATGTTTTATTTCACGCAATCAACAAATTCCATTGGTTAGTTGGACAATGGCAGTGTAATTATTCTATATACTAGAGAACCCCATAATTTCCACGCAAGGTAGAAATAATATTGCATTGTGTCAAGATAAGTCTTAATTGATATGTCTTCAAGCAGATTCCACCGAAGCGGACAGAAAAAAAAAAAAAAAAACACGGAAAAGAAAAAGAAGAAGCAGATTCCAACCATTGTGGTAAGTTTGTGGAATAGGAGAGTGAAGAATTTTCAGTTTTTCACAGATATCAATAGCTCCACTTAATGGAACAGCAGTTTTGAAGTTTAAATCTTATACCTCATTTATAAATCATATATGCTGGAATTTCAAGTTCATATATGTGTTACTTCTATTTACTAAGGTCTTCCGAATATACTATTTGAAAAATCTACATTTCGTGTTTGGTTTCATATCATAAATTTTCAGCAGTATGCATACATGTTCTGTTTGTTAGGGGTTATTTGCTCCTTCAATTGTACTCCTTAGCTACCATGCATGCATATAGATACCATATTGAAATCATAAAAAATTCTATCAGCTCGGAGAAGAAGATACCATTTGTCATCAGAAGTGATTGAATCCGCATCAGTAGAACATTCACCTTGTTGGTTCCCTTTAGGATTTGAAACAGGTTTTGTGAAGAGAAACGGTGAAAGAAGGGGATCAAGTGCAGATTCTAGTACATTGTGGCTATCATTCATCGAATTTGAACCAATACATGAGCCTAATCCTCCCAATTCCCCCAGGTTCTTTCCCAGCATTGTAGAACTATTAGTCCAGAAGCCTGATTTCCGAGACTTTCTTCTATGCTGCAAAGAACACGATAATGGCTTTAGACATCTTACATAATTTCTAAAACTTATATAAAGAACCAACAATAGTAAATATTACCTTCACTGAATGTGCATGCTGCACTGTAAAATGTCCACTCACATCTTTCCCTAGATCTGCTGCACATAAAGGGCAAACCTGAAATTGAAATGTTGAAGTGGTGACTATAAGTCTATAATCATCAAATTACAAGATGAAGTAAAAAAAAATGTTTTTAATGCAACAATGTCTGATCACATATTTGTAATTTTTTTTTTTTTTGGTAGCATATAAAACATACTGGCTAATGGTATTTTCACAGGTTAAAAAATCAAAGATGAATAGCATGATACCCTCAAATCAATTTTAAGTTTCAATCATTAGAGTATGCTGAGAAGCAAGCACATTAGATGTGATATTCAAAAAAATTAAAGGCCTCATTGATGTACAATTTATTTATTAACCAATGTGCCAGAATAGAAATGAAATCTGATCGATTTAAAGTGACCACCAATGATATATATTTGTAAAAACCCAAAAGTACTCGAGCAATACTAATCATGTTCAAATATATTCAATACCACGAAAAGTACTCAAGCAAAACTAATTATGTTCAAATATATTCAATACCGCGTTTTTGAAGTCAAAGCAGTGTTCTTCCTCCAGATGACTACAAAGCAGCGCAATTTCAATATCTACATAACAGAAGGGGCATGGAAAGCAAGCTCTTGCATCTTCATCTCCTTCTGGATCATCAATGTTCAAATGATTCTCTGTTTGGCAAAAGAAACAAAGTAATGCAACATCTGAAATTCAGAGATATAAATTCCTAGCACATGTATAAAAAGTGAATGACAATCTTAGAAAAAGAAAAACTCATAATTTAGCAACTTACAAACTCAGGATACAAATTTTACATGAGAAAGTGCTAATTAGAGAAATGATAAATTTGGTAAATATATAACAAACTCCCAAATTGGGTAAAGAGATAAGTACATCCTTTTTTAATCCTACTGATAATTCAAATGATTATCTTATCTGTTTGACACAAGAAACAAAGTAATATCACATCTGAGATTCAGAGATAGAAATTACTAGTACAGGCATGCATAAAAAGTGAACAATAATCATAGGAAAAAAATGAACTCATAATTATTATTACTATTTTTTCCCGAAAATTCAAGCAAAAATGCTCACACACACCCACAATATTGCCCCTAGCTGGCTCCAAGATCATACCATCTGGGCTAATACCCATCTGTCAAAACTCTTAATTTAGCAACTTACAAACTGAGGATGAAAATTTTGGATGAAATTGCTAATTAGAGAAAAGATAAATTAGGTACACATATATATAATCAACACCCAGATTGGCTAAAGAGATAAGCAATTCTTTTGTTAGTCCCACTGACAAAATTCAGTAATAAATAAATAAACTTTTAGAAGAAAAAAAAATAAAGTAAGCTCAGATTGCAAGTGGGTGGGATGTCATTTGCAATCCAGTTCAGCATTAACAAATAAATCAATAAATCAACAGTTTGAGAATATACATTAAAGAAAAATGTGTCTGAACTCTGAAGTTCACTGTATCATCAGTATTAATTGACAAAAAAACAAGCCATAAATGTACTAAAGATTCACCAGTTCACAATAAATGGCTCAAAATCTTCATACCCAGTTCGTAAAATATCCCAGAAAAACTGATTCTTTCATCATATAATCATTTCATAAATTAAAACTAAAAAAATAAATAAATAAATAAAGAAATTCAAGGAAAAATAAAGGGACTGTAATGGTACCAGAAGCTTGGAGAGGAGAGAGGTGCTTGGTTGAGTGAACCCTCTCAGTCAAGAAGTGAACGTCCATTAGTTTGGTGGTCAGTTTTCCGGCGGCGGAATAAGTGTCAGTTTTTTTCCCGGGAAAAACGGAGTGGGTTCACGAGACAACAAACAGAAAAAAGGGTTGAGATTTTAGAGAGAGAGAGAGAGAGAGAGAGAGAGAGATACTTTTTTTCTCATGAAGTGATGATGAAAAAGCTTACTGTGTAAAATTGTGGGAAAGCTTCTGGGACGCACAAAAGCTAGTTAATAGATGGTTGACACGTGGCAAAAATCCAAATGGGAATCGTGCTATAGAAGCATAGACTCACAGACTCACAGTGGGGTCTACCATGTTCCTTGTGAGAGCTTCATTATCAATTCTGTCTTAATTTGATATATATTGGTTCGGGCATGTAAACTTTTTTTTCTTTTCTAATAATAATAATTAATAGTTATTTTTACTGGTATATTAATTTTTTTAAATAATTTTTATTGGTCACCTCCTATATTTCTTACATTCTATATAATTTAATTTTCCGGTGCATTTATACTCTATTTCTTACATTTATATACATTTTCTGGATAATCTTAAATTTGTTTTATTTGTAAAACCCAGCAATTTATATTTTAGTACTAGAGGAGTGAATGTCCTTCCATATTTGATCCGTCACAATTTTTATAATTATATATTCATTTATGAGATGTCTGTTATCTTTAGGGAAATTAAAAATATAAATTTTTAAGATAAATTGTCCATCTTTTCTCTCAATTAAAAAAAAAAAAGAAATAAAATAATTCATTCCCATTAATAGGTTTTTCAATCCCAAAAAAAGGAAAATAATATATTCTCCAATTTTTTTTTGGCAATTTAGTATGTTATATATATATTTTTTGTATATGTATGTATAGGGATAAAACTAAAGAGAGGGAATAAAAATAAAGAGATAAGAAAAAGATTAAAGGACAATTTTACCTTAAAAATTTATATTTTTGATTCCATAAAGACAATAAATTTCTTATAAATAAACATATAATTATAAAAATTATGACTGATTAGGAGAGCTACTATAAAAGAAAGTGACTGTAGAAGGACAATCCTCCCGAGACAATTATGTCTCAAGTCTCAATCTAAACATATCTAAGCATGAGTATGCCTTTTTACGTCATTTAGGCACAACAGGCTTCTCTGCGTGGCAGGTCGGCCCACTAGGTAGAGGTCCTCCCTGGGCTCTTTGGTGAGCTAGTCCGACCTGCCGGTTTTGTTGGAAGGCCTTCTAGGCCCGTTAAAGGCTCATATTGCTAGGCCCATTAATAGCTTGCCAGCTCCGAATTTTGTAGGAAAATGAATAATAATTAGTAATTCGAAAGTTGGATTTATGTGACTGATTTATATAAGAAAAAATGACATCATCATGATATCATTAAATAATATCATTAAATATGATGATATTATGATCATGTTTAAGAAAAATATTAAACAAGGGTGAATAAGTAGGTGCGAGTTTATTACCGATGAAAATAAAGGAAAAATAATGTAATATAGTAATAAATAAGTACTAAATATAACACTAAAACATTAATATTTACTAATTTAGTATATTAAAAATATATATCATACACTATATATAATATATTATCATTCTCCTCTATACCTTAATCCCATATGGATAGAGTTTGCCGATGAATTCTCTCTCCAATATTTTTTTATTACATATCATTTTATATACTATATTTAACTTTTTTAATTTATTTTTAATAATCTTATCACATATTATTTTTAATAGTCTCATTCGTCTCTTTCTATTGCAACTAATTTTTTTGGTTCCATCCATGTTCAAATCATCTAAGTTTACTTTCCTTAATTTTCATTTTATATTATCAGGTGAAAGTGTTATTATTATATTATCTACGTTCAATTTTATTAGATTTACAATAGTGTCAATATACTATACGATAATGATCTATATAATATACTTTCACTTATTAAAAGGCTTATATAATACTTATACATGTATTAATTTATTAAAAATACTTAATAATTAATATATACTTGTAATAATAAAACTAAACTAAGCATATCTCATTTTAGACATAAGATCACCAGTGAGGACAACTTTATTCACATCAAAATCGGCAATAATGTCATATTTGTGGTCCAATTATATATTTGTACACTTCATTCAATTCTTTAATCAATAAAATGACATTCTTTATCACTCAACCATGAACTATTATGCTTCTTTTGAAATATTTAATGCGAAAGTACTATCGTATAAATGTGATAATTTAATGGTTGCTCCGTTTTCTCCACGGACCACCGCTTGACAATAAAAAATGATGTTGACACATGTCTATTCATCGCCAAATTTACTTTTCAATGGCAAGATTTTTATTTTTATTTTTATTTTTTTGAATTTTTTTTCAATAAAGACTTTAATGCAAGCTAATGTTTTAATTAGGTATAGTCACGGATTAGATTAGGCATCAATTATTATCCGATTCGTTTATAACGGATTAGGAAAATCTTAATCCGTCATCGATTCGCTATCCCAGATCAATCGAATCCGTGTAATAACGGATCGGATCGGATTAAATCTGCGAATTGAATTGAATTTAAATTATTCATTATTAATATTTTATAATTAATATTATTTATTATTTATTTGTCTTTTAACCATAATTCAATAAATTAAATTTTAATTTATTTATATTAATTCATATATTTAAATAATTATTAATTAATACATCTTTAGAATCTATTAAATTATCATTAACTAATTAAATTAATTAATATATTATTTGAATATATATATATATATATATATATATATATATATATTTCACAAATGGAATCGGATAGGACTTACGGATCGGATCAGATTTTTAACAATTCGATCTGTGATTTACGGATTCGATTTTTTTGAATTTATCACCGACCTGTGGGTGTAGCAATTCGATCCAATTCGCACGAATTTGACCAAGTTCGCAGATTCATGAATTATTTATCCAATCCTAATTTTAACACAATAAATATACAAAAATATATTTTTAAGTGGAGATCGCTAAAAAAAAAGAGAGGAGATGATTTAGACTTAAGTAAGTCTTCGACACATCACATCACATAAAATAAAAAGATTGACTTGATATAACCTAAGTTACTCTTACTCATCTAATTCTTATGCTCTACGCACGCTTTTACTTTTGATCTCACAATGTCTCGCTCTTGCTTTCAATCTCATAATGTATGACTTACATTTTGTGGTTTTTAAGCTTACACCCCGTGTGACTTAAGAGTATAACTAATGGAGTTGTACAATTAATTTTACATTAATATTAAAAGAAATATTTTTTATTATTCACTTTAAGTAGAATGGAGAAATAATAATTAGAAATTTAAAACAACAAAACAAATGAAATTAATTCCTCTCTAAGCGCTCCCATTTGTGGAAGTAAACCGGCTCATAAATCCCCCCGTTCTTCCGGCATTGATTGATTTATTTATTCTCATTTTAAAACCAAACACCACATAAACTATTCCTCGTTTTCTTTTTTCATCATTTCAAATTTCGAAAAATAGTACATTATTAAAAAAAAAAAAAAAAAAAGAAGAAGAAGAAAGGGGGGTTGTTTGGAATGTTGGGTGGGGAAAAGAGATTACTTGCTTGGTGATTGGTTTAGGTATAGGCTGAATGAGTTTTTCCTTTTGGGGGGAGAGAGAGAGAGAGAAATCCTCTCTCTTCCCCTGCGCGTGGCCTTACCATTCCTCCGTTCCGACCAAAAATAACAGTCACCAACAATTTTTCAACAATTATTGAGTGGCGTTTAGGTAAATATCAAAACAAATAAAGGGCTTAAATGTCCGAATGACGCGAACCTAGCTATAAATTTCGTCATTATTTTCCTTCTGCTGATTCTCGGACAGCCCAAACATGTAGGCATGGGCAGAGTAAACACTTCTAAATGAGCTCACAAATTGAAGAAGTCATCCCAATTTTCGAATTCATACAGGTACTTTATTCTCATTCAATATATGCATGTATAATAATTGTCTGTTTGGTTCCCGAGAATCTTCATAATAAAGAAAGAAAACAAGAACAAAATTGAACAGTCAACTCCACCGCCAAAACCTCCATTTATTGACTGAACAACAGAAAACTCATGAGATCTCTATTTCGTTTGCCTTTTCTTCAGCTTTCTCGGAGACCCATTACAGCTTTTTCTCAGTTGATCCGGTGATCAAAGAACGTTGCAGTTACAAGCAATTTCCTGTACTTAACAGGTGAGCTTATGAGGGCTTTTGATTTGTTTCTTTTTTATTGGGTTTGCTGTTTTAGTACTATTTCGGTACTATTCTGTATTTGTGAAATTGGGCTGTTGTTTGTTTAGTGGGAAATCAGAGTTACGTAAATCCTAGTTGCGTGTTTCTTGATGGTTAATGTGCTTAAAGAAACTTGTTCATATTTAATCTTTGCTATGTTGCTTCATTCATTGTTGAATTATTTTTGCATGATTGTGTTCCCTTTTAAAAAAATAAAAAATAAAATCTATATGTTGTTTGGATGCTGATAAAACAGAGTTAGAAAAGAGGGAAAGTAATTGGAAGTGTTCCATTTTTTCTGTTTGGTTCTCAAGAAATGAAAGCCTCACCTTATTTGAAGGTACATAACTATGTAATACACATTTAAGTTTTATCCAAGGAACCAAACCAATGGAAAATACGGGGTTCTTTGTCTATCAACTGGAGCTCAAGTTCTTGTTTATATCTGTGTTCTTGAATGTCACTATATTGGATTTTCAGTGAATCGAATTGATTTGTTGAATTATACTTATTTTGGTTATAGATTAGTCAAATTATACTTATTCTGGTTCTTTGTAAGACATGCATAAACTCATGCAACTGCATGATTTCAATCTTCATTTATTGGAGTGTTTTCTGTTTTTTGATGTATTGAGTGGATGGAATTTTGAACTTGTGATGCTGATGACATAAGTCCAATATTGCAGTTTGTCAATTCATCTACATATGCATGATTGTTGCTAATGTTACTTGTATTGCATTTGAGGATGGAGTTTATACCTTTAATTTTCAATAATTAGAAAATGCTGTCTATCTTAGTAAATTTTGGGGTGGAAAATTTTTGCAGGGTCAATAGAGTTCATCTGAGTTTCATCCACCAATTGATCCAGTGGTTTTCAAATATGGGTCACAGATTTCGCTATCTATGCCAGACAGAAACCAGGAGACTGCTATTGCTGATGGGGATGGCGTTCGCGGTGGTGTTACTGGTTCAGTATTTTGAGCATCCTTATGGTTATATAATATCATCTTTGTTTACTGCTGGCAAGGCTCAGGATCTAGTAATAGGCAGTTTACCAGCTGGAGATTCATCTCATAACCACAAAACGCTAGGTAACACGACACTTTTTAATACTTTGAACTCCACTGATACAAATGCTGTCCATGAAATAGTCAATGCAACTAAGACCTCTGAAGGAAAGGATATTGGTCTCAGAAATGATTTTGTATCTGAAAGGAATGGAGTCTCAAATAATTCCCTTACAGTAGAGGAGGATATCGACCCTGAAGATGAATCTCCATCTAAGGATTTTGCAGAGCTAAACAATAATTCAACGGTGGAGAATACAAGAACAGAGAATGGTTTGGCAACAGGGAAGGGTGGTGAATCTGAATATAATTTCTTAAGAAGCAATGTGAGTGCCGATAGTAATTCTTCTTCAAGCAGTACTCATGGAGAAGATATTCCTTTGAATGCAGACGTAGACCCCAGTCTTGCAACCCCTTCATTTCCACTACAACCCGTGAATTCAACTAACTTCATCCCTCCAACAAATTTGGGTACAAAACAAACTCCTATGATATCTATTAACCCCAACACTTCTTCATCAAATAAAGATTCGCCTGATACACTTCCCAAGGATGAAAAACCCCAGCCATCTCAAAGTGTTCTTGCCCTGTCAGAAAATAGTTCCTCGATTTCTAATTTACCTGCAATGAATAAAAGGTCTGAAGAACCAACCACGGGAGTATTCTCAATATCTGACATGAACGATTTATTGCTTCAAAGTCGTGCTTCATCCTTTTCAATGGTATGCATAGTCTTCAAACTTCAATTTGGTAAGAGAAGATTGATTTCGCCATTGGAGTTTGTTTCAACTTTCAAGTTAATTGTTTCTTGATAAATTTGTAGAAACCACGGTGGTCTTCAGCAGTGGACAAAGATTTACTAAATGTGAAATCACAGATTGAGAATGCACCCATCATAAGGAATGATCCTGAATTGTATGCTTCCCTCTACAGGAATGTTTCCATGTTCAAAAGGTTAGCATTTTGAGTCGTCAATTTAGATATTTACTGTCTTAAAACCGTGTAAGATTTTTCTGATTCTAGACATACAGTATCAATATATATATATATTCACTATATATATATATATATATATATATTTGGTTTTTTGAGCTACTGTCCCCAATATGCATTTTTTGCGTTCTCCCAAACATCCCCAACAGTGCACTGCTATGCCACCCACAGGTGCTAGCCCAAGTTTTGTACGTCTGACTTTTAGAAGTTGCAAGCTTACATGTGACAAGTTTGAAATAATGTCTTCGAGACTCTATTTTTATCTATTTCTCATAGATGACAAAACATAAAAACTGCTATCATATAGCAGTTATGATGGTATGAAATACTTTAATAGGTATATATCATTTAGGATACAATCCGAATATTTTTGTAATAACATATATATTGTTATGCGGATTTGAACAAGGATTGTTGAATATTTGAATTTTCTCTTAAGAATTCTGAATTTGGGTAACCTTCAAAGAACTATTTTAGCATTTCCAATATATAGTATTAGGTATTAGGGTTAGGAGAATTATATGAACATGAGCTGAGGGGGGACAGCGTAAGTGAGCAGCAGATGGAAGTTTAGAAACAAGTGCATGCGGTACAGCATACCTTGTAGATAGAAGAGCCTTAGGCCAAGTCACCCTCACGGGGAAGAGGTGGCCTTATCATCGACATAATATTAGTTAGCATTGTAAATTTCTAAATTATTTAGTTGTGCTGTTTCCATAACAAAATGTGATCTTTCATCTTTGAACTTTCTATTTTATAAATTGTATGAGAATTTTTCATAAACTTCAATTTAGTTGTGTACATATTGAGTTTGGAATTTTTAAATTTTTTTCGTGACATTTCTGATGCTTGGAGAACACATCACTTATCCTAAGGCTCACATACAAACTTTTCTGGGAACAATTTACTCATTCATCCCACATTGTGTAATGCATTCTGACTATGTGACAAATGTCAAACCATCTAGGTCAAAGAAAACAGAGTGGTTGTCATGCAATTCAAGTGTTTAGGTCTTCTGTCTAGCTGGATTGTGCAAGTTAATGAACTGTGTGATTTTTGGCTAAAATAGACTGGGTCAAGAAGTATGGATATGGTTACAGAAATGGATATTGACATATAATTGATAAGTCGACACAACATTCTTATACAGGTGTGAACTGCTCCTTAGCCACCCGTGCTCCTGAATGTTTGTCGATGGTATCTTGCTGAAGCAGCTACTGCAGTTCATACTGCTAATTAGCTTCCTACTAGTGAGCGGGATTGAAGTTCTTGTCCTATCCATTTAGCAATAACCATGTGCCCTATTGCAATATTTTTTAGTTTGTTCTGCAACAGACCTCACTTGCAAAAGATTATATTTGACTATGGTAGAGTAAGAAACCAGATGAAATCCATTTTCATACAGTAAGAAACAGGACAGAGGATTTTTTTTTTTTTTTTTTTCCAACTTTTCTTTTTTATTCGGGTGTGTTTTCAGGGTATGATAAAAACATTGCATGGTTGAACTTGTCATTTCTTTGAACATGTTTATGCATGTTTTTGCTTTTCCACCTCCATCCCCCTACACCCTTTTTGTATCTCACATGTATACATATTTCACTCTAATATTTTCGAATGTTATGGTATATTCTATAGCATTGTGTGAGATTTCTTTGTCAGTGAGTCTTTTGCATGCATGTTATTTTTAACTTAGGTAATCTTGGGGACATTTAAAAAAAAAAAAAAAAGAGCTTGGGGACATTAAGTTTTGTGTTAATAGATCACAAGGTTGAGGTTCTGCAATAGGCAAGTGAGTTTTTAATTTCTTTATTGGCGGGGTTATAAACAACGAGAAGTGCAAACAAATTTTCATTTATGTTGTTTTATGTAGGAAAGGAAGTTTTAGTGAGAATTCCTGAATCTGTTGCAAATTCAATCATTCATCAATTATTGGTGGATTAATTTTGTTTTTAATAACATTGTAAACACACTCTTCATTCCTTCCAAATTAAGATGTGAATGAACTTCTTTTCTGCTATCTTATATGCGAACTTATCAGTGTTCTCATTTATATAGGAATGCATTTAGTTTTTGGAAGTTTGAAATCATCACATTTGCAGGAGCTATGAACTAATGGAGAAGACAATCAAGGTTTACATCTACAAGGAGGGAGCAAGACCCATTTTCCACGTGTCAGTGCTCAAGGGAATATATGCTTCAGAGGGTTGGTTCATGAAGCAACTGAAAGCAAACAGACAATTTGTTACTAAAAACCCCAGAAAAGCCCATCTATTTTACCTACCTTTTAGTTCTCGAATGTTGGAGGAGACCCTATATGTACCTAATTCTCACAGTCACAAGAATTTAATACAACATTTGAAGAACTATCTTGACACGATTGTAGGACGATACAATTTCTGGAACAGAACTGGTGGAGCAGATCATTTTCTTGTTGCTTGCCATGACTGGGTATGCGTTGCATGTTTCCTTGTACTTAGGTTCCTTAATTAATGATAACAAATTAACAAGGATCTGTGCCACCCAAAATTTATTCCCTTCTAAATACATATTGTTAAAAATGAGTTTTTCTTTGTACCAATTGAGGGGTGGTGTATTTTCTTGCTTGTAGGGTTTATTTCCAAATCTTGAGAGGAAATTTGGTCTATGTTTTTGTATACCTCTGATGATGTTGGATTTGGTACTTGAAATGCCATGCAAAACAAAATGGAATCAATCTGCTTTCATGTTGCATCTATCACCATTTGAACGTTAATTGATTCAGGATATTTACCCATTTTCTAATTGTTTGGATAAACATCATTTTGTCAGGCCCCATCTGAGACAAAGCAACATATGGGTAAATGCATAAGAGCTCTCTGCAATTCTGACATCAAAGAAGGCTTCAAATTTGGCAAGGACGTGTCTCTACCGGAAACATATGTGAAGACGGCTCAGAAGCCGCTAAGGGAACTTGGGGGCAAACCTCCTTCCCAGCGACGAATCCTTGCTTTCTTTGCTGGGAACATGCATGGTTATCTCCGTCCTATTCTATTGAAGTACTGGGAAAACAAAGATCCTGACATGAAAATCTTCGGCCGGTTGCCTAAGGTGAAGGGTAAAATGAACTATGTGCAGTACATGAAGAGCAGCAAATACTGTATATGTGCAAAAGGTTATGAAGTCAACAGTCCACGAGTTGTGGAGGCCTTCTTCCATGAGTGTGTTCCAGTGATATTATCCGACAATTTTGTGCCTCCATTTTTCGAAGTACTGAACTGGGAATCCTTCGCTGTTTTTGTCCTGGAGAAAGATATTCCGAACTTAAAGAGCATACTCCTTTCGATTCCAGATAAGAGGTATCTTGAGATGCAGCGGAGGGTTAAGAAGGTACAACAACATTTTCTTTGGCATACTAGGCCTGTGAAATATGATATCTTCCATATGATACTCCACTCGATATGGTATAATAGAGTTTTCCAAATAAGAACTCGATGATGGATGTGTTTTGACTACAAAAGATTGCAAATACACAATTTTTCCTCTGTAGTCAGATAAGAATTCCACATTTATGGGAAAGTGTGAAGGAAAATGTTTTCAACGGGTAGGAACTCGTGAGTTCTACTGCACAGAATTGTCATATTATTTGCTGTACATAGAAAACTCATTCTTTGCTGTAGGGATCTCAGATTCATATTGGAGCCTCACGGTTTAGTGTTGGTACTTTATGCTGCTGACAAGGTATTCTTCTTTGTCTTTTCGATATAATGAATTAATGAAGGCATGGAATCAGCAATTGTGCTACATTTAGAAAGACTTGGCCTCAGAAATAGAATAAATTCTTTTGTCAAATTAAAAAGGGTTAACCATGTTCTTAAGGTGAGCTAATTTTGAGTCCTTAAAAAGGAAAGATGAAAATTGTGGAATCGACTTACAATTAAGGTTGACAAAGTAAAAACAGTGGATTATAGATTAGTAGCTATTTATACAACTTTTATACGATTTTAAAAATCAAGCAGGTCTATGTGTGACCAATTATAGTTGATCATAACAATGGGAGCTATACATTGCTTGGTGCTTCAAACAAGAGAATACAGGTTCTCACAGCTTCCATTTTCTTTACAGTAGAGTGGGTAAATGTATGATATGGTATTGACAACTATTTACAGATTATTAACTTTTTTATATTCTCATACTGGTTTAGCTCTTATGGATCCATCTCAGTTTAGATTTTAAGCAATTTTTATTTCTTCGCATTTTCCAGCCACTATTCTTACTTGAGGTGAAAAAAAATATAGAAAAACAGTTCTAATTCTTACGGCTTCTCTTGCAGAGTAATCGATATGGAGCAAGTTCTTCGCTTGGATCAACGCATGTATGAATTGAAAATAATAAAATTGCAGTTTTTCTCTTGATCCCAAATAATGATCTATGTTTTTTTTTTTTTCCTACATTTGCTAGCACCAGAAATGAGATTTCGTTTTGCCATAGAAATTGATTCTGCCATTGTCGTCATCTCTTTCTGGATTCAATTGCTTGTTAGGACTTGGCTTTGCACTCTATGTAGTTCAAAAAACTTATAGAGAGACTTGGTATTTTTGGCGCATGAAGAGACAATGTCCCTTGCTTTGTCTTTAAAACTTAAAACCTGTCTTAGTCTATTATTTTCAATATTTTGCATGCAAATATTTGTTGCTTTACCAACCGGCCTGTGGCCTAACGGTACAAGACTCCTGCTTTCCAAAGGGAGATCAGGGGTTCGAACTTCAATGGAGGCAGTGTGTGTGGGCTAGAAAAAAATATATATATTTTGGTTGCTTTTGGAGGTTTAAGTACATTTGTCCATCAAGTAAATTCAAAAGAAAGGGGCTTCTGTACATGAAACCACTTATGGTCATGCATGGTGAAAGAGAGTGAGTGTGTGTGGTTTTTTTTTTTTTTTTTTTTTTTTTTTTTTTTTAAAAAAGAAAAAAAAAATTTACTTTTTGTATGAGTATTTTGAACATGGGGGTGGTGGATTATTTTGGACTAATTTAGGAGAATTATTTAGTTTCAACTATTGCCTAAAGAACTTGCCTACTCATTAGTAAGATTTTCTTACCATTGTGGCATAATTATAGAGTGACACATATTTATTCGGTTACTTATATTTTTTTTTGTCTAAAATATATTGGGAATGTAATTGTAGAATAATTTATTATTGGAAAAAATGTGTTACTCTACCCTCTATTATTGTGGGCACTCTCATGATAGAAACCGGAGCTCTCGTGCTTGACTGTTTGATCAGATTTTTATTTATTTATTTTAGCCTGGGTTTACAATCATACCGCGCAAGCAAAAAATTGCTGGCCTTCCAGCTTCTTGGTTGAATTCGAGTTAGTTCTATATATTGCTCAAGTTTGGGATCAAAATTGATATTAAAAAAATTGCACGATTTAAAGGATTTTAATATTTAAAAGGATAATGTTATTCAAACTTAATACTCAAATCATGTGTGTTTGGTTGTATGAAATTGGAATTGGAATTGGTGAAATTTAATAAAAATAATTAAGAAATTAAAGCAAATTTTTTTAAAATTCTGATTCCAATTCTAAGTTTCTAATTTCATGCAGCCGAACACACTCTTAGACTATTTTTGGCGACATGTAATTGGAGCCTTGCAATTGAAATTTGTAAAATTGGTAAAAATTTTGGTTCAAATTTTAGAGTTTTTTCAGTTGCTTTTCTCCAATTGCACTAATTGCATGCCGGCCAAACATAGCCTTATGAATTTTTATATGTGGAAATGGATTGGTGTCTAAAATTAAAGTTTTGGCCTTATTCAATTCATTCAGGGAATAAAAATTCTCTGAGGTTAAAATTCTCACTGGACTATTATATCTAAAAAAATTATGGGATTATTATGAATATACGTGTTATGACTCATGTTTACTATTTGATGGAGTCAAAGTCATGTTTCCAAAAAAATGAAGTTGATCAAAATTTAATGTGAATATGAAAAAACACTGTTCATTTGTCCAAACTATCTTTATTATTAATTTCATGTATCACTTTTGTGCATGCAAGTACTTCGTACTACTTTTGTGACTACTTTTATGCATGTAGGTGTCATTTTTTTGTATAGACCATCTTATTAGGTGTCACTGATATCACTTTTTGTGTACGTAGACATGGTCTACATAAAAAATTGTACATCCGTGTACAAAAGCGGTACTTACGTGCATGAGAGATATTTCTATGCACAAAAGTGATACATAAAAATAGTAAGAATTGTTTGGATGACCTGGATGACCAAAAGTATTTTTTTTTATTTATGTCTAAGTCATCATTTTGGTCGGCTTCAATTTTTTTAAAAATGATAATTTTGACTGTACCAAAAATATGGGTCCATAAATTCATCTATCTCTAATAATCCCGGAAATCATTATCTTATTCGAAAAGCTACATGGACCTCTTCTCACTTATTAAACACAATCTAGTCCAATCCATTTACAAGTATTCAATTTTAGTATTTTGCCTGTGAAATTTAGATATAATTTTAATTGAATAAAATAATTTTTCAAAAAACAAAAAATTAAAATGCCAAATTGGTGACATCAGCAATGCTTGTTGTTGACCAGTGTTAGCTTTTTATGTGTAACGTTAAGCTGAGTGCATGTTTCAAACAAGAGAGGAGGAGATTCACGTAATTAGATCAATCTCAACCAAGATCGCTATAATTTAAATCCAAATTGAAAATATTAGGATTAATTGCCAAAAAAAAAAAAAAAACTCCCCTACACTCTCATCGATTGAAGTGTTTTAATGAAAAAAAAAAAAATTAGGAAAATTTAAAAATTGATTCAATCTTTTCTCAAAAAGGAAAAAGAATGATGAATCAATTCTTCTGATGTCATTCTCTTTTGTTTTCAATATTAATATATTTTATATGTTTATTATCTCATTTTAATGAAAATTTCATTCTTATAAATTTTTGTACATGTGAAACCTTGTGTATAAGAGCATCTATAATGGTAAAATGCTAAATTGGATGCCAAATTTATATTTTGACAGGTGCTACAGTGTCGAAATGCTATAATTTAGCAATTCTGCTCCAATGATGCAAAATGCTATTTTTTGACACAACCGCCATTCTTTTTCAACTACCATTATTACCATTTATACTTGCATCAATAATATTAGTATTAGACACATTCCAAGTTAATTTGTAGATATTAGAAGGAAACTAAAATTAAATCTAATTAAAAAAGAGCAAAAATCTAAAATATCGGATCAAAAAAGAAACAAAAATAAAAAAAACAAATTTTTTATAATTTTTTTTATCACTATTTGTGAATTAATTTTTTGATATAATTTTTTTTATTATATATATTTGATTATATAATTATTAAAAATATATATATTTTTAGGGTAAATCATATCGGCCTCCCCAATCGCCTCCATCTGAGAACTTGCCCCCCCCTCTCTCTCTCTCTCTGTGCAACTGCAAACTACAAAATCTACAGGAATCAGAAGCTCAAAACCCATATATTTCAGTTCATCTTACCACCCCATCCCACCAATAGGCTAAGAAGACCTGAGGAATCTACTACTGCAAGTGTCTTCATGGGAGCTCATGCCACAACCCAGATTCATCTGATCTCCGGTCGCTGCCGCCCTCTTCACCGGAGCTCATGCCACAACCCAGAACCATGGCGACGGCGAAGGGAGTCACGATTGGACCACCCAGAACCACGGCTGAGCAGCATCTTAGGTTGTTGCAGATGAGAGAGAAAGAGGACGTTGCAGATGAGAGGGAAAGGGTTGTTGCAGATGAGAGGGTCGGCTGAGATGTGAAGAAACGGCGTCGTAGGGTATTAAACAGAATTGAATTTGGCAACTCTTACATTTAAGAGAAAAAAAAATTGAGATTTTCAAATTTTAAGAGACAAATGAAAAGTCATTGGAGAACATGTTTTTCACTTATCTCTCAAATTATGAGTTTGAGAACCTAATATAGAAGACCATTGGAGTTGCTATAAGGGTCTTGCATTTGAAAGTTCATCCAATCTCTCAAAATTTTAAAAATTTCGTGGTCGACCCTGGTCATCTAGTGACAGTGGAACAATCTCATCATGACAAAGCGCAAAATCATAAAATAAAATTGTAGTGTAATTGTTGTATAAGTTATGCAGATGCCTCGATGGTGTTTTAGGTATATTAGTTATCGACTTTTTATATCTACTAATTAATCTTTTATATTAAAAAAAAATAAAAAAAATTGTTATATAAGCTATGTAAATAGCATTAATGAGATAATTTATATGGAAAAACTGATGAAGTGAAATTATCGAGGGCCTTGTGGTCAGTAGCATGGAGTCTCCATAAAATAAAATTAAAAAAAAAAAAAAAAAACATATAGTGCAATTAATAATTGTTGTATAAGTTATGTAAATATGGGCATCCAAGGATTAAGTTAGTCAAATATATTAAAATTTGCATTATTGCTGTATAATTTGTAACTGCATATATAAATATGTTTTCAACTTTTCACACTTATTATACGCACAACCGCAAGTCCGTAACCTAAGAGGATAAATAACTGTTGAAACAGTGTCTGACAACCCTAAAAAGTTGGTTAAACAACGTTAACAAGCAACCAAACTCCAGCTGAGCATTACCCTTCTTTTCACCAGAATTTTGTCCTGATTTTCGTTTTACTCTCATCTAATTTTTATTTCATACAAAGTCAGGCTAGAGAGAGAGAGAGAGAGAGAGAGAGAGAGAGATGATGTATACTTTGCTTAATGAGAGGATTTAGATAACAGATTATTCATTAGATCAACAGCAAGAGAAAGCCATGGCTTCAGAGACCAAATATGTGAAGGTCAAGCCCAGTGGTCATGATGGTTCATCATCATCATCAAAGGCCAAGTTTGATTCATCTATCAAGAAGAAGAAACTTGTTGACAGCTCAACCAAACAGCCCCTTAATCCAAAGCTTAAATCTACTGGTACAATCACAAAAACTGAGGTAAACCATTTCACTTAGAAAAATTCCTTCACTTTTTGAGTCCCTGAATCGGTAATCTTGTACCCTTTTTAGCACCTATTTGTGTTTGTTTTTCAGTTAGTTTCTTGATTAATGATTTGGGCATATGGATTGATTTGCCTGTTATAAATGATTTGGGTGATTTGGGTCTTTGAGATCTGGTTTCATTTAAACAATTATAATGAAGGGTGATGTGGGTCTCTGAGATTCTGGTTTGATTTAAATAATTTGAAATGAATTGGGTGATTTAGGCATGTTTGCTTATTTATTTATTTATTTATTTTTATTTATTTATTTATTTTTTTATCACCACCAGTGAATGGGTATTCTGGTTTTCAATTTCTGTTTCTGATACTCTGAGAAACTGGGAATCTAAGGACCTGTTTGGTTCAGTATTCTGGTTAGTTTTCAGAAAATTGCAACCAACCAAGTTTTTGTACAGTATTGTTATTCTCCGAAAACAGGAAACTGTTCTCAGAAAACTGAACCAAATAGGCCCCAAGTGTTCTCTCTCTCTCTCTCTATATATATATGTATATATATTTGTGTTATGGTTTTGGTTGTGATGAGTTTGAATGTGTATTTTTCAAGTGAAGGTAAGAACAAAAACAACTTCAAGTTCATTGACAACCAAAAAGACAACTACAGTTAAAACAAGAGAGAAGAAAGTTTACACCTTGCCAGGCCAGAAGTATGATGTTCCCGAAGAGGTTCTGGATCCATTACATGCTTTCAGTTATGTTCTTTTAAAAGAAATTCTATAGTGACTGATTTCCATTGATTTCCTTCATGTTACTCTTATTGTCAACAGAGGGAACCTCTAAGGATATTTTATGAGTCATTGTCGGAACAGATACCTTCAAGTGAAATGGCAGAGTTTTGGTGAGCTTTCTTTTAATTTTTTTTTTTTTTTTGGACACTTTATTTAATCATAAAGGGATTTTCGCGACGTTTACTTCCTTGATGTTTGCTTCTATTATGTCTGAATATGAATTCAATTTTGTATAAAGTTGACTACAGTTATTTGCTTGCTCACAGTTCAAGGTTTATGTTACTTAGAAAGTTATGATTTGCATCTTTCATCGTAGCTAATGCAGTTTCTCAAACTGAATGACTAAGATGTAATTACCTTATTAGAGTAAAAATGGTTCGCGTTTATGATCAATTAGTTTTGTCAAATTGATGCCTATGCTGGTAATTTGGCTTACCTCGTAGAGGTGGTCCAACGACGAGGGTACATTGCTGCTACTGCCTTGTTGGCTGCCTTAATTCAACTAATAGTGGTTGCACATAGTTTCTTCTTGGTAATGAATAATGACTTTGGATATGATTTACAGATAAGATCTACATAATTTACATTGTTGATAACTGCGCATTGGATATAAAGCTGAAAAAATAGATTAAGTATTAGAAGCTTTCTCTTGCTCTCTTCAATTTGATGTCAATTTGTGATGGAACTATTCTTTGAAAATGTTAGTCTTTTGCAGCAGCTGATAGCGATGAGATTTTTATTAGGGCTTGCAGATTTGTATGTTCGACTTGTGATCCCTTCGTTGGCTCAAATAGATATAAATCATATATTAGTTAAATGTTGATATTCTTCTTGAATTGTATGTTATTCATGCAAATTTTCAAAAGTGGTGCCTTTTTTGGACCCAAGTGTTTTTCCAGAAGTTGCTTTCTAATAATACGATTTTTTTATTTTATTTTATTTTTTTATTTTTTTTCATTTGCATAAGATAAATTGCTTATAAAATTGATTATTAGTAATTGATTTGTCAATGACAGAGGTTGTGGTTGTTGGGATTGTATGCCCTAAAAACCAATTATTTTTTTATATATTCAATTTTTTATTAATAAATGTTATTTATTATTAAATTAAATATTCCAGCATTGGGCTTTTCATATGTTTGCATGAGATGCATCATAGTCCTCAAGTTGCATTATAGGTGACTTAAGTGTGTAAATGAGATCCACACGCAGGAGATTTGACTTCACCCGTTTCTTGCAACTTGCCATTGTTGGCAGTCGGTGATAGAGGTTGGGCACTTTTATCTATAAGGTTGTAAAACATGTTTGTCTCGACCATTGGGGTAGTTGACTCTAAGTCAACGCGTTAGTGTGCTTAGAGTATACTGAACTGGATCACCATAAGAATTACACAAAAAATAATGAGAGTAATTTTTGTGATGTGATCTTATAGTGACGCAATTCATTGTACTCCAAGCACACTAACACACTGACTTGGAGTGGTGAGTGTACTGACTTGAGAGGAGGCTAAGGTAAAAGCTATATTCAGTGATAGTATTGTGAGTTTGAAGAGATTCAATTGGATGGCTTTGGTAGCTACGTCCCCTCTCCATATCCGTTTATGCAGACAAACAAGCTACCTAACCACAAGAACAGCATATGAATATACGGAAGGAATAAGCTCAACACAAAAATAAGCTCAACACTATTACTTTATGGGGAAAACCCCAGCAAAAAGCAAGCCCAACACAATCAATTGACGAAGGAAGAGGGGAAAATCCCAGCACAAAGCAAGCCCAACGCAATCAATTGACGAAGAAAGACCTTTCTTAGAAATTTAGAATAGGAAAACCACATGTAAACGTGGAAAAATTGAAGCCATAAGAGTTGACACGAGGTTTTCTCAAGTCAAGTTCAGGCTCTATAATGAGAAATTGAACGCACATAAGATTATCTCCATTGAGACAATATTTTTACATTTTTTCCAACAAAAAAAGTGGATGTCTTTCAAACCTATGTTGGAGAATAATTGTGCTTCAAACTCAATCCAACTAAACTCCTTTTCTTAAGTAGAAGAATTGGAGAGAAATGCCAAATTTTACTTCTTTGTCTTCTTTTTTAATCTGAAAACTATACTAATCTATCATGCTTTGGTGTGGCTCAACATGGGTCGAAACCCAAGACGAGAGGCAAGACCACTATTTGGTGTTTTTGTTTGAACATAATCATTTCGTTCAACTAAAGAATTGGAGAGTTGTTTATCTATAGTGTCGTCACTTAATGAATAAATCCAGTTAGAAACCTCTTTCCTATAGATCCTTACCTATGTATTCCTTGTTGTGACTGTGGTTTTGTATGTTGAATTGCTGGAATGGTTGAGGGATCCATGAGAATTAGATATGATTAGATAAAGTAAAAGGTAATTTTAGATAGATGTTCTGATGTTTCAAAAATAAGAGAAGTAAAGGATTTTTGAGGAAAAGGGAAATATTTTATTTTATTTGGAGCACTTCTCTTTAAGTACAACTAGTAGTAGTTTTTTATTTTATTTTATTTTTTTGCTAATAGTGAGGTATTTATAACAATAGGCACCTAATGTGGGTATCTATAAGACTATAACCCCATTCCACCACCGTTCTCTTCTCCAAATATTTTCTCTTAGGGTGCCCGAAGGAAATATTGTTACCTTTTCTCTAGATTTGTATGAACTTTCTCTTACAATTTTTTTTTTTTTTTCCTAACTTCTCATAATTTTCAGAAGATACTTTGGTATGATTTGTGGGGCATTATGACACATGGCATTTCTAGATCCTTCAATAGATGTTTGAATTTAACCCCAAGGAGGTGGGGAAGTGGACAAGAGCCCCTCTCTAAAAGTGGAGGTCTCATGATCAAAACTTCTCCACACCCAAGGAGGGGGGATACCTCCTGATGATAAAAAAATAAAAAAATAAAAAATAGATGTTTGAATTCGTTATATTTATTTTTTGGAAACTTGAAGGAAAGTGCAAAAACTTTCTAACTCTTTGAATCCTTGATGTACTTTGCTGAAACACCTTGCATACTTTTCCCCTTGTAGCACCTTCATGAAGATATCTGCCTTACTCCACAGACTCGCTATATTTGGCTTCAATGTCTCCAATGGCTGCTGCTACTTCTAAAAAGTTATTCTTGTTAAGAGACATAGTATCTGATGTCAAGAAAAATGATACTTGTGGAAGTGATGCACTTTTCCTTGATGTTTCCAAAAGTTACTAGTTTTCCGTGGACAAATAAAAAAGGAGCAAGTGTTAGATCATACTGTCCTATATTGTATGAAAATCATGTACATGTACCAGAGAAGTATATAGTATCTTGTATCTTATGGAGGGTCTTGTCAAAATCTAGAAAGAGTGATGAGATCTTTTAGAAGCAGTAGAATTCACTTGAAGGAGACGGGTCAAGCTACACCTCTGGATACTTACTGCATTTTCCATTATTATCCCCCCCAAAAAAAGTCTTTTATATAATTTGTCCTATCTTCCAAAGAATTCATACACTCTGTTTTGCCATCTAGTCTCATTTACCACGCACCAATTCCAATTTAACCATACTCGATGACCATTCGAAGCAACACCCTGATGCAAGCTAACAGCTCAGGTTGACTTGATTGAGAGCTTGTTCATGTTTGTTCAATATTGAAATTAGTGGGCTAGAACATATTTGAGCTTGTTTTTCTAACAAGCCAAGCTTGAACACCACAAGTCGTTTATATAATTTGTCCTATCTTCCAAAAAATTCCTACACTCTGTTTTTCCATCTAGTCTCATTTACTATCCACCAATTCCAATTTAACCATACTTGATGACCATTCGAAGCAAGACCTTGATGCAAGCTGACAGCTCTGGTTGACTTGATTAAGAGCTTGTTCACGTTTGTTCAACAATGAAATGAGTGGGCTTGAACATATTTGAGCTTGTTTTCCTAAATAGCCAAGCTTGAACAACCTTTCACTTGACTTTAAAAGATCTAATGATGAATTTGACTTCTGCTCCTCCAATCATGATTTTATCACTGAATGCTGGATGTTTACTGTAGTTAACCTTTAATCATTTCCTTGGAGGAAAAAAGGTATAATGAGAACAATCTCACGGAGCTTGTGTCTTCTCAGCCATTGGATCAAGACTGAGAGGTTAGCCTCTCAATCCGACAACTGAGAGGGTAAAAGCTCAGTGAGAGCACCCTCATGATAGACTTGCTCTTCTCTTGATTAAAGAAATCAACCTCTAACATACTAGAACTGAATACTTAAATCAATGCTATAGGTGATTTTCCCAGTTTATACCAATGGATGTCCGTGACGAGTGCAAGAATTTTGTTTTCCTGAAAGTTGCTCTCAGGTAGTCCGGTGGCTATTTTAGGTTGCAGGTATGAAAGTTATTTTTTCTCCTTGTGGGTGCTAGCATTGACTCATAGAATAACATGAATATTGAATTAACATTAGCTTTTATTGAATGTGCCAATCTGTTATTGTTGGGAAGGTTATCGGGTAGGGATTTTGTCTATTATTTATGCTAACGAATTATAAATATTTAGACTAGTTTTACATGTTAAATTTTAGACTAGGTGGTGCATGGAAAAACTGTGATGGATCTAGGAAAACTTTGTGTGGCATTTCAAATATTTAGTGGAACATAAAAGACCATACTGTCTTATCTTTGGTTTTTATGATTAATTTTTGGCACCTTAAGTAATTAGAGTCTTTAACATAGCAGATTGAAGTAAAGACTTCAACTAAGTCACTTCCAACTGCAACTGGAGATTTTGCACAAACCTTTTGCAGTGACATTGCTTTTGTTGCATGAGTTGTAATTCTATATATAGTCTGTCATGTTTATTGTTCATAAATAAAACTCTCCATGGTTCACAGGCCCAAACAAAGTTAATTGAGGTATTAAATGTACAAAATGGATTCGTGTAAATCCCAAATGGTTGGGACAAGACTTTATCATGCAACTTATGTAACTTGCATTGAGTTGAGTTGTGTTGAATGTACAATATGAGTACTAGTAAAAGCTATCCTTCAGCTTAAATTTTATTTAGGTGGAGGAGACTCTGTTCTATAACCATCCGCTTAAACATTTACTAATTGTGGAAGTTTGCTCTTAGTTGGTCAATTACTCAATTATTTCTTCAACCGTTTCTTGTTTTTGTGCTACTATGTACCATGTCATCTGATGAACATGTTCTCGTGTATCTGATGTCTGTAAACTTTTAACTGTTGTAGTGTGAGGCAATGTGTATATCAACACCATTTCTCTTTGTTCTCACAAATTTATTGACATGGAGTCCAAAATATAATTGTCACAAATAGGAAAATAAAGTGATTTCTTGCCAAGTGTAATCTATGACACCGTACTCGGATGTTTCCCCTATTTTTGTACCTTGGTTTGAAAGCTCAAAAGTGCATTATTTTGCCAAAGTTGTAATAATCATTATTATTTTTGGTATTCTGCATGGTTTAAGACATTCCGCTTTTTAGTTATTTATGAGAGAGATAATGCGTTCCACCATACAGGATGATGGAACATGGTTTATTGTCACCTGAAAGAGCAAAGAAGGCATGCGAAAAGAAGCAAAGGAAACAAAAGCAACTTCGGATGGGAACTCCCATTAAATCTCCACCACCACAACCAAGTAGAACTGAGAGTTTGAAAAAGCAGCAGCAGATGTTGAAAAATGGTGATGTAAAAGCCAAGAAAAGAATTATCAATGACAGCGATGATGATATTGACTTTATAAAAAGTCCCAAGAGGAGGAAAGGGTAAGAAGAAAAGGCTTCTTTTGCTGTTTGTAGCAGCAATTTCAGAGAATTTCTTTATAAACTCCTTTAGATTTAACTGCAACAAGGCAGGTGACTGAAATAATCGAACAGATGATAGATTGATACATTCTTTATATTGTCTGAATTTTGATTTATGGAAGCAATAATAAAGAATAAGTTAACACATCCTTTTCTGATGCATTTGTGTTGATGATGTGCCAAATTTGTTTTTGTGGGTATGAATATAATGGCAGATATGTGGGGGTATGAATCTAATAGCATATATGATGATGAAATAAGTTATAAAGCTTTGGATCATTGAGATAATTATAGTGTTTGATGTAACTCTCTTGTGCACTTCATGATGCTAGTTTTCTATTCTGTGACATAGAGCAAAGTTCTAGAATCTAGCCTTCTAACATGGATTTTCTGTGTTTTATCTCTGGCTATCATAAGTTTGAACTGACTACTTTAGAGCTATCTGTATAACTGCTTATTTAGGAAAAATTGTACCAATTCTTGAATTCATGAAATTTTCTCAAAGAGGTCCAAATTCATTTCAGCAAATTACAGGAAGATTAGTGAGGGATTAGATCGTAGCCTAAGGCTCTGACAGAATAGAGTGCTCACTGTGAACTAGACCTAGGTATGTCTTATTGATAATAATTTGAAACTAATTAACTTTTAAATTATCACTAGTCCTTGTTTGATTTTCAGTTAATTATTTCAATATCATATATGAAGTGCATTCACATAATCACAAAGAACATAAAATAATTAGAGCAGAGACAACGAACTTTTACGTAGAAGACCCCAAACAGGAGAAACTGCGGGACCTCGTACAGCCATGAACACTCCATTATTAGAAAGAAGTTTTACAATTAGGTTACTAGATTCCACCCTAGAATCCCCTAGTTACCTCTTAAAACAGACAAACCAAACTCTCCACTTGAATCTCTAAGTTGTCTGCTCTGTCAACTGATCCGCTTCCCACACAATGTATTTCTCCATTGTTTATTCAATTCTTCTGCTCTAATTTGATCGGTTGACTTGCTGAATGTGGTTGATTCTGATGTTCTCAGTGTTGTAGATCTCTCAATCATGTATAGTATCTCGAGATTGATAAACAATATTTCTCTCTTCATAATAATGATTCTCCCTAGATTATTCAGAGGCTCTCAATTGGTGGCCCTAGACTGATTACAACCATATTTTTATATCCAACAAAGGGTACCATGTTGTATGGTAAGTAGGATCCTTTTAAAAGTCTGATTAGGTAGAGTTTCCAAAAATACGTTTCCGTAGGGTTTGATCGATACCAGGCTACTAGACAGGCTTCGATTGATCGACACATCGAGACACTGTGACTTTCAGAAACACTTTTCTTGAAAACTATTGATTGATCACCCAATCAATCGAAGCGTTTTGGAATTCCTCCTTAGATGACTTGTCGTTGATGCTCACTGTATTTATCCATTGTTTATTCAATTCTTCTGCTCTAATTTGATCGGTTGACTTGCTGAATGTGGTTGATTCTGATGTTCTCAGTGTTGTAGATCTCTCAATCATGCATAGTATCTCTAGATTGATAAACAATATTTCTCTCTTCATAATAATGATTCTCCCTAGATTACTCAGAGGCTCACAATTGGTGGCCCTAGACTGACTACAACCATATATTTATATCCAACAAAGGGTACCATGTTGCATGGTAAGTAGGATCCTTTTAAAAGTCTGATTAGGTAGAGTTTCCAAAAATACGTTTCCATAGGGTTTGATCGATACCAGGCTACTAGACAGGCTTCGATTGATCGACGCATCAATTGAGACATTGTGATTTTCAGAAACACTTTTCTTGAAAACTATTGATTGATCCACCAATCAATCGAAGCCTTTTGGAATTCCTTCGGTGACTTGTCGTTGATGCTCACTATATTTCTCCATTGTTTATTCAATTTCTCTGCTCTAATTTGATCGGTTGACTTGCTGAATGTGGTTGATTCTGATGTTCTCAGTGTTGTAGATCTCTCAATCATGTATAGTATCTCTAGATTGATAAACAATATTTCTCTCTTCATAATAATGATTCTCCCTAGATTACTCAGAGGTTCTCAATTGGTGGCCCTAGACTGACTACAACCATATATTTATATCCAACAAAGGGTACCATGCTGTATGGTAAGTAGGATCCTTTTAAAAGTCTGATTAGGTAGAGTTTCCAAAAATACGTTTCCGTAGGGTTCGATCGATACCAGGCTACTAGACAGGCTTCGATTGATCAACACATCAATTGAGACATTGTGATTTTCAGAAACACTTTTCTTGAAAACTATCGATTGATCCACCAATCAATCGAACCCTTTTGGAATTCCTTCAATGACTTGTCGTTGATGCTCACTGTTTTTCAGTAAAATCTCCATTTCGAAAAAAGATTTAAACCTTAATTTTGAAAAACAAGTCCAAAACATAATTTTGAGACTAATTTAAGGTAACTAATTTTACCCTAGAAATGTAATCTAGTCTTGAGAGATTTCTCCAAGTTCTTAGCTGAGCGCTTCATCTCCATCATCTCTTGTGATTGCAGGCAAAACATCATGAGTAGGAATTTGCTAGCACAGGACTCGTAATCCTAACAATTACAATTAGGTAGTGTTTCTTCTTGTAAAGTAGATATTGAAAAATACTTTTGACTCATTAATATAGGTCAATAAATTTTTTTAGAAATATTCTTCATTGCCTTTGATAATTAGTTTCAAACTATTCACAAATGAATCCAAGGATGTTAAGTCCCTTCAAAGAGATATTGTGGAAGAGTTTCGATTCAAACTTTCTTCTCTGCAGAATGTGGAAAATTGTCCTACCAATAAGTTGCTTTGCAGAGAATTGTGGATTTCTGAAGGTATCCTGGAAGCTTGACAACTGTCTGGATGATGCATATGTAATCATGTTCTTATCAGTTTGGGCTTTCGTGTTTATAATCTGCTGTATGCCTATGTTCGAGAATATTAACTTTTTGTGCATCTGTGAAAATCTTGTGTAGCAGTTGGTTAGAGATTAGATGTGGCTTATTCTGATGTGCTATTTGATTTCAAGATGCAAGATAGCATATCTCTGGTACTTCATTCAGCACAAGTTCTGCTTTATGCTTTATTTTCCAACTTGGGGTGATGTGGACTTTTGCAGGGACTCTTCTAGCATTTCATTGAGTTTTGTTGATAACAGTATATGTGGGTGGATGGTTCTGTTTTTGGCCTTGCCGGGAATATTTAGATTGGGTTCAGATCATTTTTAGAAGGTGAATTAGAAATGTTAAATTTTAATGGCTTCAGTTTTATAAGTATGGCTTTTCTGGTGCTCATTTTATGGTCTGTTGTATGTTTGGTTGGCCTATTTGGCTATGGTGTCCTTTTTGCCTTTTGTTTTATTGGCGGACATAGGGATTCCATGTGCTTTGAATTTGTCTTTGCCGTTTTGTTTGAATAAATTCTTCTCACTGCTTACCTTTCAAAATAAATATATATATGCAAGGTTTCATTGCTTGGTTTAATGGTAAAAACTCGAACTGATGCATGTTCGAGAGTTCGAGTCTATCATCAGGTCTATCTCCTGTCTTCTCCTCCCAACATGTTGCGCGGACAGGACATTTCACCAGGTAATCCTCTTTTACCTTACGATATATTTTTCTTGTTAATTTGACTTTAGATGATAAATTATTGGATAGAAAGTTACCTGTCCCCACCTGCATATATATCTGTTCATGTGTTCCTTGGGGATTGTCACCTGCCTTTAATATTTATGACCAAGGATAGCAACAGTACCAAGGGTAAAAAAAGAAAAACCCATGTAGTCCATGAGGACCATGACAGTGCCATGGAGCTTTTTTTTTTTTTTTCCTTAGAAAAGCATGAATATCTGAGTGTAACAGAGGCAAGTGTAGCAGACCTGTGGTCATGATTCAGAACTTAAAGTTGTTGATAAATTGATCTCTCTAATGTTCGCAATGAATATATAAATTGCATGTGAATCGAGCATACGAAATACAAGGCACATTTAGTGTGTAGATTATTATCTTATAGATTTATGGTCAGCTGATTCAGGTGTCAGTACCATGCATGGGACTGTTAATTAGTGTTTGTAGAATTAAATTTTTATCCTCCCTTTCTGTGCTTGATGCATGTGACGCCCACGACCCACCGGACCGCATGACACAGTACAGCCCCCCATTTACAGGCATTTTGGTCAAAATGAAAGCTACTGGCTTTTGAAGATTCTGAATAACGGGTTGTTGTTAATTGTGACAATGTCTTGTATTGTCCTTGTTAACTGATTTCTGTGCTGGGATGGTATTAATTTTTGCAATGCATCGATTCAGGCAAAAATAGATTGGAGGGTTAGTATTTATTTTGTGAGAGACAAGTTGTTGGTTATATGTGTGCATTATGTCTCATGTTTGTGATAGTGTTGTATGCATAATAGTCCTCTAGATTTGATAAAAGCTAGTGATATAGGAAGTTTTTTGTTGATGAGTAGGGTGCCCCTAATAAAGCAATGCGAAAATCGCCATTTTTGACAGAATTTTTCTGGGAAAAGATTATTGTTGATATGTTAGGGCAACATTTCTATTTCAATTTATAGGTTGTTTTACTAGTCTGGTTTTGTTATTTCTGATCATCATTGTGCACTATGCCAAATATGATGAATGTAGTACTTAATTTTGAACGTATCCAGCACAACCTCAGTCCTCAAATCTGTTGGGGAGCTCACAAGATCCGAGGACTGAGCCTGTCGCGACTGTGCTTAGCATAGCTCGTAAACATATACAGTAGTTTAAGAGCAAAATACGAGTCCAGGTGAGCATGATCTACGCGACTGTGCAAACTGAAAAATCATACAGAAGATTACTGAAGACCATGAAAACATGAGCCCAGCTGAGAGAATATGTGATCCAAGTGTTGTGGCTGTGGTAGAAGTAAAATATATTTCAGAGTAATGGTATACAAGCCGAAGGATCGTACAGATTGCACGGTCTAAGTAGATTGAAGTAATTTGTTGTAGGTTCCAGCTTCCACCACCACAATTTCAAGGTTTTTGGTACATTCCCTGTAGATGTGACCCAGTTGTCGTGCCATTAAAATAACAAATCTTTCCTTCAAGAAAATGTGTGGCCATGGATTTTAGGTCTTCGACGAGTTGTATCAGTATTGGTTCTTGCAGGATTACCAGTGCCACAAGATGATCTCAATGATGTTTATTGTTCACTTATGGGTCCGAGTTCTTGTCGACCAACAGCTCAGTTGTTTGAGGTACAATTCAACTTCTTCTGGGTGAGAATTGAGCATTCAAGTTTACTTCATTTATTAGAAGAAGATTATAAGCTGGAATAGTGAAGGCTGTGTTCGGCAACAACTTCATACAATAATGAATTTTTCTCATAATAATTAGTAACTTCAGAATACCTTTATTTTCTCAGTTCCCTACCTAAGTATTAACCACATAAGCCAACTCCTAAGCAATTGTGTATCACGGAAAAATATTAGGCATTCCGGGAGTGCGGACTGTAGTACTTCAGAGTTCGGACCAGTGAATATTCACTATTTTTACGATAAGTGCTTGACCGTACTATGTTATGGGTACCTGAATAATTTCTGGTGTCACGGGTATCAATTTTATTCTTGTTGCCAGCTCACATCTAGAGGTACAATTGAACATGCTCAACATTAGCATGTTGAAGATCAGAATATGATGACTATCAAACGTTTTTGGACTGTGAATTTGCAGAAGAAAGGTACGTTATAACAAAATGATTTGAATGGTGTATTTTGAACAACCTCCATTAAAGCTTTTGTTTCTTGTTTACATTAAGACATTTTTATTTTTATTTTTTATGACTTCCAATAGGTTTTCAACTGATCCGCTTCCCACACAATGTATTTCTCCATTGTTTATTCAATTCTTCTGCTCTAATTTGATCGGTTGACTTGCTGAATGTGGTTGATTCTGCTGTTCTCAGTGTTTTAGATCTCTCAATCATGTATAGTATCTCTAGATTGATAAACAGTATTTCTCTCTTCATAATAATGATTCTCCCTAGATTACTCAGAGGCTCTCAATTGGTGGCCCTAGACTGACTATAACTAATTTTACCCTAGAAATGTAATCGAGTCTTGAGAGATTTCTCCAAGTTCTTAGCTGAGCTTTATCTCCACCATCTCTTGTGATTGCAGGCAAATTATCATGAGTAGGAATTTGCTAGCACAGGACTCGTAATCCTAACAATTACAATTAGGTAGTGTTTCTTCTCGTAAAGAAGATATTGAAAAATACTTTTGACTCATTAATATAGGTCAATAAATTTTTTTAGAAATATTCTTCATTGCCTTTGATAATTAGTTTCAAACTATTCACAAATGAATCCAAGGATTTTAAGTCCCTTCAAAGAGATATTGTGGCAGAGTTTCGATTCAAACTTTCTTCTCTGCAGAATGTGGAAAATTCTCCTACCAATAAGTGGCTTTGCAGAGAATTGTGATTTCTGAAGGTATCCTGGAAGCTTGATAACTGTCTGGATGATGCATATGTAATCATGTTCTTATCAGTTTGGGCTTTCGTGTTTATAATCAGCTGTATGTCTACGTTCGAGAATATAACTTTTGAGCATCTGTGAAAATCTTGTGTAGCAGTTGGTTAGCGATTAGATGGCTTATTCTGATGTGCTATTTGATTTGAAGATGCAAGACAGCATATCTCTGGTAGTTCATTCAGCACAAGTTCCGCTTTATGCTTTATTTTCCAACTTGCGGTGATGTGGACTTTTGCAGGGACTCTTCTAGCATTTCACTGAGTTTTGTTGATAACAGTATATGTGGGTGGATGGTTCTGTTTTTGGCCTTGCCGGGAATATTTAGATTGGGTTCAGATCATTTTTAGTAGGTGAATTAGAAATGTTAAATTTTAATGGCTTCAGTTTTATAAGTATGGCTTTTCTGGTGCTCATTTTATGGTCTGTTGTATGTTTGGTTGGCCTATTTGGCTATGGTGTCCTTTTTGCCGTTTGTTTTATTGGCGGACATAGGGATTCCATGTGCTTTGAATTTGTCTTTGCCGTTTTGTTTGAATAAATTCTTCTCACTGCTTACCTTTCAAAATAAATATATATATGCAAGGTGTCATTGCTTGGTTTAATGGTAGAAACTCGAACTGATGCAAGTTCGAGAGTTTGAGTCTATCATCAGGTCTTTATCTCCTGTCTTCTCCTCCCAACATGTTGCGCGGACAGGACATTTCACCAGGTAATACCTCTTTTACCTTACGATATATTTTTCTTGTTAATTTGACTTTAGATGATAAATTATTGGATGGAAAGTTACCTGTCCCCACCTGCATAAATATCTGTCAATATGTTCCTTGGGGATTGTCATCTGCCTTTAATATTTATGACCAAGGATAGCAACAGCACCAAGAGTAAAAAAAGAAAAACCCATGTAGTCCATGAGGACAATGACAGTGCCATGGAGCTTTTTTATTTTTTCTTTATAGAAAAGCATGAATATCTGAGTGTAACAGAGGCAAATGTAGCAGACCTGTGGTCACGATTCAGAACTTAACTCAAAGTTGTTGAGAAATTGATATGTCTAATGTACATGATGAGCATGCATGGCCACATATATAAATTGCATGTGAATCGAGCGAGCATACGAAATACAAGGCACATTTAGTGTGTAAGATTATTATCTTATAGATTTATGGTCAGCTGATTCAGGTGTCAGTACCATGCATGGCCCTGTTAATTAGTGTTTGTAGAATTAAATTTTGATCCTCCCTTTCTGCGCTTGATGCATGTGACGCCCACGACCCACCGGACCACATGACCCAGTACAGCCCCCCATTTACCGGCCTTTTAGTCAAAAGGAAAGCTACTGGCTTATGAAGATTCTGAATAACAGGTGGTTGTTAGTTGTGACAATGTCTTGTATGGTCCTTGTTAACTGATTTCTGTGGTGGGATGGTATTAATTTCGGCAATGCATCGATTCAGGCGAAAATAGATTGGAGGGTTAGTATTTATTTTGTGAGAGACAAGGTGGGGTGTTATATGTGTGCATTATGTCTCATGTTTGCGATGGTGTTATATGCATAATAGTGCTCTAGATTTGATAAAAGCCAGTGATATAGGAAGTTTGTTGTTGATGAATAGGGTGCCCCTAATAAACCAATGCGAAAATCGCCGTTCTTGACATAATTTTCTGGGAAAAGATTATTGTTGATACATTAGGGCAACATTTCTATTTCAATTTATAGGTTGTTTTACTAGTCTGGTTTTGTTATTTCTGATCATCATTGTGCACTATGCCAAAATATGATCAATGTAGTACTTAATTTTGAATGTATCCGGGATAACCTCAGTCCTCAAATCTATGGGGGGCTCACAAGATCCGAGGACCGAGCCTGTCGCGACTGTGCTTAGCATAGCTCATAAACATATATAGTAGTTTAAGAGCAAAATACGAGTCCAGCTGAGCATGATCTAGGTGACCTAACAATTGCCATAGGCACATCATGATAGAATGTGCTTGGCAAAAAGCTGTGCAAACTGAAAAATCATACAGAAAGATTACTTAAGATCATGAAAACATGAGCCCAGCTGAGAGACTATATGATCCAAGTGTTGTGGCTGTGGTAGAGGTAAAATATATTTCAGAGTAATGGTATACAAGCCGAAGGATCGTACAGATCGCACGATCCAAGTAGATTGAAGTAATTTGTTGTAGGTTCCAGGTTCCACCACCACAATTTCAAGGTTTTTGGTACAATCCCTGTAGATGTGACCCAGTTGTCGCGCCATTAAATTCACAAAATCTTTCCTTCAAGCAAATGTGTGGCCATGGATTTTAGGTCTCCGACGAGTCGTATCAGTATTGGTTCTTGCAGGATTACCAGTGCCACAAGATGATCTCAATGATGTTCGTTGTTCACTTATGGGTCCGAGTTCTTGTCGACCAACAGCTCAGTTGTTTGAGGTACAATTCAACCTCTTCTGGGTAGAATTGAGCATTCAAGTTTACTTCATTTATTAGAAGATGGTTATAAGCTGGAATAGTGAAGGCTGTGTTTGTTCTTGCAGGATTACGAGTGCCACAAGATGATCTCAATGATGTTCATTGTTCTCTTATGGGTCCGAGTTCTTGTCGACCAACAGCTCAGTTGTTTGAGGTACAATTCAACCTCTTCTGGGTGAGAATTGAGCGTTCAAGTTTACTTCATTTATTAGAAGATGGTTATAAGCTGGAATAGTGAAGGCTGTGTTTGGAAACAACTTCATACAATAATGAATTTTTCTCATAATAAGTAGTAACTTCAGAATACTATTTTCTCAGTTCCCTACCTAAGGATTAACCACACAAGCCAACTCCTATGTGATTTTGTATCACTGGAAAAATATTAGGCATTTTGGGCGTGTGGACTATGTAGTACTTTGGAGTTCGAAGCGATTGTGTAATATTTGGCATTCTGGGAGTATGGACTATGTAGTACTTTGGAGTTTGAAGCGATTGTGTATCACGGGAAAAATATTAGGCATTTCGGGAATGCGGACTATGTAGTATTTCGGAGTTCGGTTCAGTAAATATTTACTATTTTTTACGATAAGCGTTTGACCGTACAATATTATCGGTACCTGAATAATTTCTGGTGTCACGGGTATCAATTTTATTCTCGTTGCCAGCTCACATCTAGAGGTACCATTGAACATGCTCAAAATTAGCATGTCGAAGATCAGAATATGATAAGACTGTCAAACGTTTTTGGACTGTGAATTTGCAGAAGAAAGGTACGTTATAACAAAATGATTTGAATGGTGTGCATTGAACAACCTCCATTAAAGCCTTTGTTTCTTGTTTACATTATTAACTAGTTGGTTGGAAAATACTAGAGGACATTGTTTTTTTTTTTTTTTTTTTTTTTGACTTCTAATCATTAGGTTTTCAACCTACATTAATGATGTTATAAAAATCCGTAGTGATACAGATTTTAAATATATATATATATATATATATATAGAGAGAGAGAGAGAGAGAGAGAGAGAGAGAGAGAGGAGGACCGATCCTTTGGAAGGGCCTCATTTAACATATATGTAGGGTAAGTTAATTTATTAGGGTTAGACCACCATATAAATAACCATGTCGCCTAGGGATTGTGACATGGCACAGCCTCTTAACACGTAGTGTTGCAGCATAGGTGGAATTAGGTTTTGGGACCCAAACAAGATGTGTGACTAATGCATTGGTGGCTGAGAGTTAAGAGATAACATGAACAATCTACTCATGTAACAAACCATGGACCCCAATATATTATTCATAGAGATTTAATTTTTTACATTAATGGCCGTAGATTTTAATATTTTTTTTGACTATTATTAAAAATAAAAAAAAATTACCAACATTTTGATGTTATTCTCTATATGGGTTCAAATTGATTTGGAAAAAAAATACTATTTGTCATTGATTTAAACAAAATCACTCAAAAAAAAAAAAAATGTAATCATTTGGAGACAATTTTTTTGATTTGGAGACAAAAATATTTTGTTCATATGCATATGCTAACACAATATATATAATGTGAAGCATTGTGAGCTGTTTTTTCCCCGGTCTGGACCCAATGTAGAAAATTTCATTTTGTTCTCTTGCTCGTGAGTTGGGACCAAATCAACGTAGTCCACAAGTTCTGAACATGGTGGCATTGTAAACCTTAGTTTAGTGCCTCAAGATACCAATCGCAACAAATAATAATAAAAAAAGCCCAATAACATAATGCTAAATCCAATATTATATGGTATGATGGCACACTGTAAAACCCCCTTTTTGTTTTCACCTCATACTGTATTGTTGGGATTTGGTGTTGCATCCGATGGCTCACACAGTATACACGTGTTTGAATGAATGTGTGCCAGCTGTCCGATGCAATATGACACTTGTATTCTATTCATAGGATATCTCACATTGACATATAATACCTCACAGCATATGTATACGTGTAATAATCCGTGTTAAACACGTGTGTATGTTATGAGTCGTAGGATGCAGTAATATTAGACAACTCATATTTAGTGTTTGTGTGTGTGTGTATATATATATATATATATATTTTGACATTGGTGAATATCTAAGTAAGTTTTTTTTTTTTTTTTTTGGGGAATAAAGAAGAGTGTAAGGAGACAAAACTAATGAATATCTAGGGTTGGTGATGGAAGGGAACATGATAAGGGGATAAATGAACAGTCTAAAAATAGGTGAAACCAGAAAGATATCAAAAGTTGGACTTAATAAGGGTTATGTGGTACAAGAGAAAGTGGCCCCCACTGTTCAATAAGGTCTAGTAGGGTGACCCATTTCTCACTAGGTCCCCTCTCTCTCTCTCTCTCTCTCTCCTCTCTCTCTCTCTCGCTCTCTAACCTTATACATCAACATAAATGGGTCATTGGGAAATGAATGAATAAAGTCATTGGTCAATTGGCTTAACTATCAAGGTGTATGCTACTTATATCCCTCTCCTCTATCTATATATATCCATCTATGTCATCTTCATTTCCTCATTGCTCACTCTCTCTCTCTCTATAAACATATTGATTTCTCTCTCTAGACTGCATCCAAAATTAGTTAGCCCCAACAAAACACACTACTACTCTTTGTCTCTGCGCAGCCTTTACCCAGTATAGCAAATACTATATATATAGAAAATATATGCATACATATATACATATATAGACGTGTATATATAAAAAAAAATTGTCACTGGGTTTGTTGTATTAGCAACCGGGTCATCATCGGTTAAATAAAAATGAGTACTGACCATCAGAATTCAGAACCAGAGAGCAGTTCCAACTCATTCTCATCACCTCCATCATCACCATCCTCACCCGGGTCAACTCAGTTCCCTCAAAACTCGGTGTCGAACTCACCAAACCAACCCAAACCACAAGACCCAGAAGCCAAGAAGATGAAGAGGCTCCGAGACAGCAGCAAACACTCGGTGTACCGGGGAGTCCGAATGCGCAATTGGGGCAAATGGGTGTCCGAAATCCGTGAGCCTCGCAAGAAATCACGCATATGGCTCGGCACATTCCCGAACCCAGAAATGGCGGCTCGGGCCCACGACGTGGCGGCGCTGTGCATCAAGGGTGACTCGGCGATTCTCAATTTCCCCGAACTCGCCGGGTCGCTGCCGCGGCCGGTGTCGCTGCTGAAGAGCGACGTGCAGGCGGCGGCGGCGAAGGCGGCCGCCATGGACACGTTTGACGACTCTCCTTCGGCGTCGCTGTCGTCGCTGGTTTCGGCTATGGAGCTGTCGAATTCCGATGAATTGAGCGAAATCGTTGAGTTGCCGAGTCTGGAGACGAGTTGTGACTCGGCCGAGTTGAACAGCGAGTTTGTGTACGACAGTGTTGATGGGTGGCCATATCCTCCGCCGTGGTTGCACACTGCCGGTGATGATTGTGGGTTGGTTTCTGATCAGATATCTACTGGTTTTGACACTCTCTTGTGGAATTATCAGTGTTGAATTTGTGCGTGTGTGTGTGTGTGTGTTTTGTAAGTATGTGTTTGGGTTCTTCTTTTCTTCATTTTAGCTCTTTTGGTTTTGCTTTCAAGGGCTAAAATCTCTCTCCCTCTCTCTCTCTCTCTCTCTCATGCTTTCCAGCTTGTAACCTCTTGAATGTATCTAACTGTACAGTTAGGAGTGAAAGAGGAAATGTCATAAATTTCCTTCCATGTTTGGTATATACACATTAACGTCTCTCTCTCTCTCTCTCAGGAATATTTATATATTTTTTACTATATATGTATATTATTTTTTTAATATCTAGGTCTATCTGGGGGAATTATGCACTCCTTACTGTTTTTTATTTTTATTTTATACTTTTTTCATAAGCCTCTAAAAATTGTTTTAGATATATATATATATATAGATAGATTGTTTGGTTTAAGTTTTTACATTAAAAATGTATTTAAGCACAATCCTCCTCTCTTCCTCTACTAATACTAATATTATTGTAAAACATGATTTTAATTGAAAAAATTAAAAAAAGGAAAATAAAATTAATTAAAAGAGAAAATATCTGTACTAACTTGGTTCTTGTGAAATAATAGTTGAAGCTAGAAAAAGGAAAAAATTATGGATGTGCCAAAACAAAAAGTATAGTACTCGATGCAGAATGTGTAATCCACTACTCAAAACCCTAGTTTTCTTTTTTATTTTATTTTATTATTTTATTTTTTTGTGTGCTGGCTGTTGAGGTTTAATTTTTGGCAGATGGAAGATGGTGAATGATGGGGAGTGGTGTGACAGTGACAAATTTTCCCAAATTGGGTACATAATTAATCTATTTTTTTTCCCATATATAAGCACACATAATTTGAAAACTACATGAACTCTGCTGACTCACGCAGTTTCCTTTGGAATTTTGTTCTTCTTTTAAGGGGACTGTGTGGAGTACTGGTTGCTCGCAAGTAGCAAGTCTAAACCTAGATGATATTTTGTTTTCCCCCATTTGGTTGACATGAGAGGCAACATAAATATCTCTTTATATGCGTACCACTGCAGCAAACCGGTTTCACTGTATTTAAATCGACAACTCAACAATTTTAGATCGTTTATTTTAATGCAACGATTTTAATTAACAAAACAGTAACTAACGTACGTTAAAAGCGTTAAATTATCAATTTAATGGCATTATAGCATTGTAATATATTACATTATAATATAATATGTTGCACTGTTGATTTAATAGTGATTGAAAACGAGTGATGAACCGGGAAGGATTGAGATCGGGATTGGGATCCCTCGAAAAAAACAACAATTATATATGAAAATACCTGTATGTTGCATGAATCTTATATGATTGCCGCATTTTTATGTGATGTAACGTAATAGATTTACACAAAAAATTTGAATTATTAATTTTTAGCAGTTGTTGGCATGCTTAGACCCCACATAATGATAAGTTAATGGAATGAAAAAGATGAATGAATAAAATATGTTAATGTGACTGTGTAAGAAGGTTGTGTAAAATACACAATAATTTTATACATTAATGATGTGACAGACTGACATTATCTTAATAAAGACTTATATGTCATACTTCTCTTTGTCGAAACGATAAGGCCGTTATATAAGTGGTGTTGCACTTTTGATTTAACAGCGATACAAAACTAGTGAATATCGAAAAAGGATTGGGATATGGATTAGGATCCCATGCATAAAGCAACCACCATACATGGAAATGCCAATAGGGTCAAACTCTCTCTCTCTCTCTCTCTCCATAATATTTTAGTTGAATGTTTACCATAATGAAATGTCCCTCCTTTGTCAAAAAATTAAAGTTTGATGGTGAATGATCACTGTATCTAAATATATATATAATATATATATTTAGGGGAGGGGGGGTTTTTGGAAATTCCGTGATTGGTTTTGTTTAGCCATTTGTGGCTATATGCTCAAAAGTTTTCTTTCTTCATCCGACTCTATAAAGGTAACTTTAAAGATTTTAGAAATGGATATTGTCAGTAGACTTTTTTAGTAATTTTTGTTACAATTAGGACTCTCTTGTATTGAACAAAAGTGGAAAAAAAAAATTATTATTTTTTGAAAGCAAAAGATGGGGAACTTGGTAGCCCTTCTACTTTTCTTTATTTATAATAAAGTGGGAATGGATGGGATCCTGGGCTCCTTCTTTGTATAGCGGGCTATGAGTTGGGGACGGTTTTTGTGCTCTTTCTGTGTGCAACGGGCTTCATGTTGAGAGGCTCCAGCCGCTCCACGTGAATCTCGTTGAATTTTGTATTGTGCATTAAAATGATACCGTTTTGACGGGCAACATGACTTTCCTCCACGTAAGAGGAGATTCGAATCCATGTAAAGAGTTGGACTTGTATCTTATTAATAGTGTTCTTACTATGCTAAAGTTCAACTTTTGTCCCTTTGGGGTTTTCATATAATGGAATTCCTCTTTGTAAGTAACTTCTAGATTAAGAAAGAAAATGGCCTCTGCTCACTTCTTTTAAAGTACATTCTAATATTTCATAATCTAATCAAGTGAAACATATTCCTTGGAATGTTAACTTCTAAGATTTAATCACGACAACTGACGTGATGGATGTTCTGAGTTTGATTCTCTTCTGTCACTCTTTTAAATTTTTTAAAATTAAAATTAACGTGTGACTTTGAAAAATACTATATATATATATATATATATATATATGGTTCGCAATATCTGTCACGGTCGCGATATTGGTATCAATCGCGATGTAATAGACTCATACAAAGTCAATATAAACTAATCGATACGAATCGCATATGAGATATAAAAATAAAAATATAAAAAAGGAAAGAATTAATCATACACAGAGAGCCGAGACATGCACCCAAGTAAAGATAATTAACATGCTGGTAAATTATAAATAAATACTTGGATAATACAATTTAAGGTTGAGAATGTAAGAAGACTATTTTTTTTTTTTTTTTTTTGGTTTTGGTTTTGATTTTATGTAATATGTCATAATCTAACAAAACGACAACTTACAGCTATTGTCAATTTGTATGATGCATACAAAGTTAATTGTACCTAATTTAGGTTGCACACATTCTTGTGCATTTGCCAATTCCACTTGCAATTAGGCATATATGGGATCAAATTTAGGGTTTTTTGGAATGATTTTTATTCCACTCCTTTGTTTGCCCTCATTTGTGTTTGTGTCTCATTTTTCTACACAGAAGTCACAAATCATTGATGACAAATGACATCACAAACTCTTCTATTGGTCATGAATTATGATAATTTCTTTGATTTCTAATAGATATCTATCATTTGCTTGTGTGTAATATCAATGAGCAATTTAGTGAAGTCTATTCAAATTGCCTCTCAACGGCCATTAAAGTGAGTGTTTGCTAAACGGCTAGGGAAGGGAGACAACTTACTGTCCCATCATTCGGATCAATAGTTTGTATATGTATTTGTGTGTGTGTGCGCGCGCGCTCAACTTGTGCAAAGATGTGGTATAGCAAAGGACAACCCAACTCCACTAATATTTAAGTGAATTAAACAAATTAAATTGTTTTTTTCTTGCCCCTAATTGCACACAAATGAACTTATACCTACCTCTAACTTTACTTTTTTTTTTTTTTTTTAGTTAGCACTAGGAACTCACCTAGGCAGGGCCCTTTCGGGACCCACCTTAGGTTACAAACCTTGGGGTGCAGAGTCTCACCCCAAAGATATACCGAGTAAGTCGGAAAAATTAAAAAATTTGGTAGGAGTCGAACACTGGCCGATTGGATGCCAGCCCCGAACCTCTACCATCACTGCCAAGCCCCTAGGGCAACCTACCTCTAACTTTGCTAGTTAGTTACAACTAAAATTTTCAAACCCTGTTCTTGCTTGCAATGCTTGTGTGATTTAAATAATTTAAAAAACAAGAACAATAAAAAATTGTGAGACATCAATTTGCTTGAAATATTATCATCATATATGATATCAAGTGAGACTAGTGTATCCATGGATTCTTTGGCAGTTAGAAATGATGCAGCCCGCACTGCAAAACCACATTATTTAAATATAAAAAAAAAAAAAAAAAAAAAAAAAAATGGGTCATGTTATAACAACTAACACAGATAATTATTGTTTGCCTTTTGCAGTTTGTACTAAACTACATCACCATTTTTATAATCTTGGTATAATATATTAATTAACATGAGGAGATGGAATAAACCAAACAAGAAATAGCCAAATCCATTGAAGAATGACATAATGTGCTATCTGAAAAAATCTATTTAAATGTTATCTTATATGTGCCATAACCAAAATTGAATTGGTATATTAGATGTACTTCAATTAATTATGATTTGGTTGATTGATTTGATTCTTTTTGATAACAATTTCTCACTCTTTAACACATCAGAAATATTTGAATGGATATTCGCAATTAGGGATGTTAATTTAACCCGCTCCGTCCCATTTCTATTGAGACAGATTTGGAATCATCCTAATCTGTTTAGGGGCAAGTTTGAGAAGAGAGTATAAAATCCGCAAAACCCCATACTCATCCTGATTAATAATTAATCTATAAATAAATATTCTTTTAGTAGCTATAATTTTTAATTTTTCTTTATTTCTTATGATAATTTTAAATTTTAAGAACTTTTTTGTTATTATAATTGTTAAATATTTGACTATACTACAAAAATTTTACAAAATTGATTTTAAATTTATTCAAGTTTGAATTATTATTATTTTTAAAATATGTACATCTGGGTACTCCGAACCTGCCCCGATTCCGATGCGGGGCGCCCAAATCGAATTTGGAAAAATATTTTTATTGGTGAGACGAGTTTGGAAAAGGGTTAGCCTGTCTCGAACCTACCCGTTAACAACCATATTCGTAGTTTGCCAATGCTTTTAAATACTCAAAGTTTATGTCATGGTTACTTATCTAAATAGTGTCTAAATAGTGTCCGGCTAGAATGAGACCATGCATATCACATTGAGAGGAGTCGAACTTGAGATTTTCAATTATCACCAAGAGCAAAGCTTAGAAGTTGATTGTACAAGGAGCCTTTTAAGTTAACTATCTTTTGTAAAATGTCATGTGTCAAACTCTCATTAATTCAACCACCATAATATATAGTGTAGTTAACCCATCTTGTCCGCAAAGAAAAGGAAGAATGGTAGACATATGGAAAAGCTAGAAAAATCCTTTTACAATTTGTAAATACATTTATTTAATTTTCCTACCATTTGAAACAATCT